TATATACACATACAAGAAACACCAGCAGGCTCGCAAACATACGCACTTCCTCCATCTTATTCACGTGTTTATGCATGCAAACGCAGTCGGTTCTTCATTAACGCTTACACACAGACACCCCCACACGCTGACATGCATACACATATACATAACATGCTACATAACAGAATTGGGAGAGATGTTTGTCTGAGATGGCAAGGGCTTTGATTTGCTGTGGCTGTCTCAGCAGGCAGCGTATGAAAACACAGCAGTGATACAAGGAACAGTCAAATTAACAAGCTAAGGAAGGAGGAGGAGGGGGTGGAGAGAGGAAGACAACAAAGTCCAAACAATAACTGAGAGGTGGGGAAAGTCTGGGGAACATTATACAGAGCCCTGGCAAACAGTAGAATTACATTTACTCTAAACAGCTCTTCCACTGGCAGCATTTCCACTGGGGAGCACTCCTGACAGCTTCTTGTGTCTCATTTTTTCCATTTGAAAAGAGAGGTTTTGTTGACACCACAGAGAACTGAGCGTGTTCTTTAAAGCTCTTAAAACACCAGGTGGAAGCATTTCAAACTTAGCAAAACAGGTGCGGCGCAACAGCTTTTCAACAGTCACACAGAACGGAGGGAAAATGCCTCAGTTCTCCCAAACATAAGTGCACATAAAGTGGCCTCCATTTCAGTAAATTGCAAGGGATTGTGTGATTGTTGTACAGGCCCACCCTGAAATTACTGCATATGTCATGTCCTGCCACCAGGAGACGCAGTGATGCTCACTTTAACTTACGTCTGTCTGATAGGCCAGGCCTTCAACAACACTGTGGTATTGTCACATTGAAAAACAAATTTCAAACATTCGTAGTAGAGCACTTTTAAGCACATCTATTTGTAGAAACTGGCTGTATTTTGAATGGAATAATGGTGAGTGAGGTGTGTATTTTGAAAGGCACATAAAGACCTAATCTCGTGATATAAATTCACATTTATACATATAAGTTTTTGCTTTTCACATGTAATGAAAATGCACATGATATGAGAACATGTGCTTTAGCTGCTGAGTTCCTATGTCCTATTTAACTGAATAATGCATTAGATCTTTTATAACATTCATACAGTACCAATGAAAATGTCCCATGTATCCAAACCTACATGTTAGGGATGATTATGCTTTGCATTAGTAAGATGGTTGTGTTCTTGATGAAAAACACTTCTACCACATGTTCTTTTCCACTAGAGTAGCCTTCTCTTGTAGTTCAGTCATGTCACTGCCGGAAGGCTAATTGTTGTAATAATGGTTAGTATTGTAAGTTAGGGTTACTCACAACGTATGACAAAAGAAAATAACAGCAATTGAAATAACCTGCATACTTTATTGTGTCTGAAGGCATTATTTCAAAGGCCATCAACAAGAGATTTTATTCTTATTAAGCTAGATGACAGATGTGGCAGTGTTGGTCCTATCTTTCCAAGGGCATTACATTCCGACACTATAGGGAAGGAAATGTAAACCTGGAAATTGTGTCAAATTACTCAAAAAACAATGATCTTGCTGGGAAAATCAACAAAAACTAAATTAAATACAATATTGGTCCATTGCCAAAGAAAAAAACCCATTTTACAAGCTTGGAGATATATAATATCTGACCTTTAAACGCCTGCATTGTTAGAAGTCTAATTAAATTAGGCTGAAATAAATGAACAAGTGAGTCTCTGGAACGGCACATTTATTGTTCTGAATGGCTGATAGTTAAAGGTAGCACATCAATATTGTGCCAGCTGCACTGACACATATGTAAAGTAATTTTCATTGGCTATATCTGAAAGCGAATGTTTGGAATGCCGGACAGAATTGTAATGAATGAACAGATTTATAAAGTAGTATACAGTAGATTTACCATCTGCGATCTGTGATTTTCTGGGGGCAGCAGGTTAGAGTAGCCATAATATAACACATTTTTACTACATATTCAAGACATACAAATGGGAGCAAATGTCATATTATCTGTCTGCAGCTTCTATTGAATGCAATGTAGAAGTTAACCTGTGTGCAAAGCTTTTAAACTTTCTCTAAAGACTTATTTTTTAAAGACGTGGGAATATATTCTGTGATTGTGTATTTAGTATATAGCATATATAGTATATGCGTGTACACTACAGAACAGAGTAGTTGTTCCCAATCTGCATTAGGGATCACCAAATGTTAAAATGATGTTAAGGGATGTCAGAAAATTTACCTATACCTATATAGACCTATATCTAAATATCTTGTTAATTTCTGTGAGGTCCTGAACACAAACTATATTCAGGGACGAAAACACTGAACTTGTCAAATAAAGAAGCCTATTAAGTATGACTGGTGGTTAAAAATTACAAAAATACACAATACGGACATAGAATTGTATAAAAAGTTCCTATATCGTTTTTTTCTGTATTTGTAGTCCGAACATGTCTGATGTAAGGAGAGCAAACAGTAAACAGTGAGGC